TCCATTTCACCCAAAGCTTGTCAGATTTGGCTTGCAGATTCCAGAGCAATTTAGCAAGAGTAGCTTGATTCCAACTATTTAAATAAATAACATTGAGAACCCCAACATTCTTAGGGTCACAGACTTTTTTCAAGCCACTGAAGCTTTCTTACTATTCCCATCCTTTACACTCCAAAGGAAGTTTCTGCATAAAGCTTCAATATGGTGAATGACTTTCTTTGACAGCGGGAAAACTTGCATCCAGTATGCTGCTATTCCAAACAACACACTTTTGATGAGCTGACATCTGCTAGCATAGCTTAACAACCTAGCAGTCCAGTATCTGATTCTCATCATAATTTCCTATCAATGAGGGGTTGACATTGAAGAATTGTAAGTCTTCTGCTAGAGAGAGGGACTCCAATGTACTTTAAAGGCAAAGAACCAACAGCAAAACCATTGACATTCAAAATTTTTTGTTGTTCCTGAGCTATTACTCCTCCAAAGTACATCTTGCACTTGGTTGGATTCACCTTCAAACCAGTTGTTGTAGAAAATTTATGAAATTCTCCCATTATGAGTTTAACAGACACTTCACCCCTTCTTGAAGAAAGAAGCAAGTCATATGCAAATGATATATTGGTGATAGACAACTTAGCACAGTTTGGATGAAAATTGAAATTAGGCTGCTTGTGCAAATTCTTCATACTCCATTGCAAGTATTCCATGATTAAGACAAGGAGGAGGGAAAATATTGGATCTCCTTGTCTAATCCCTCTTATAACCTTCACAATCTCACTTTGCTGGCATTTTATAGCATACTTATAAGAAACAGCTGTGACACATTGCATGACCCAATCTATGTATCTGGATGGAAAAATCATTTCTTTCATGATTGTCTTCAAGGCCCCTTAATCCATAGTATCATGTGCCTTTTGAAGATCCATTTGGATAGCACACCTGAGAGATATATGCTTACAATTATAACCTCTTAGCAACTCGTGAGCAATATTTATGTTGTCATGAATAACTCTACCAGGAACAAAAGCTGCATGACTCTCATCAATCAAGTCAGGAATCACCTTGCTAAGTCTATTGGTGAGGATTTTTTATATGATCTTGTAGATTATGGTGCAACAAGCTATAGGTCTAAGTTCCTTTACAATTTTTGAATAAGAACTCTGAGGTATCAAGGTGACCAAGGTGCAATTCACTGCTGCATACAATCTATTGCTACCGAAGAATTTCAATACTGCTGCTATAACATCCTTCTTTATCACATTCCAGCTAGCTTTGGAAAAACTTGGCATTATAACCATCTATTCCTGGAGCCTTTTTATCTCCAATATATTTAAGGGCCTAAAAAATATCCTTCTCAGTTATAGTTTGGATGAAACTATCATGTTGCACTTGTTGCAGTTGGGTTCTATTCCTAAGAGTCTCCACGTCTACATGCCTTAGCTATTGATCAGCAGTCCCCACATGGTCCTTATAGAAGTTAATAATCTCATGTTCCACATCCTTGAAATCTGTTAGAATGTTCCTATGTTGGTCCTCTAAATTATGTAGCCCAGATTGCTTGTTTTTCCCTTTGATAATAACATGAAAATAGGCATTACTTTCATCTCCTAATTTCATCCAGTCCACTTTAGCTTTCTAACTTAGAATTTTTTTCCTTCATCTCTGCATGTTGGATCACTTCATCTGACCAATATTTGACATTTTGAATTAGATCCTGATTAAACATATCCCCTTGAAGCTTTTGTTGAGCCTGCTCCAATTGAGCTCTATTCTCATAAATCTTTTGGACCCCTGTTATAGTTTCTTTGCTAAGACTCCTTAAGCTATTTTGTAGACTTTTTAATTTTCTCCAAAGCACATACATAGGTATCCCTTTCTCGTATTTGCAACAACTATCTTGGATAACCTGCAAAAACTCAATTCTTTCTATGATACAGTTCAAGAATTTAAAACCAGCCTCAGGTATCTAAGTCTCATTTGTTTTCTCTACCATACTGAACTTCAGAGGGGAGTGGTTAGATATGTGGGGCTGAAGGACTTTATTATCACTTTAGGGAAAAGCAAGGAACCATTCCTTGTTGCAAACAACCCTATCAACTCTAGAATATATCACACCATTGGAATGTATCATCTAAGTCTCATTTGTTTTCTCTACCATACTGACCAAGTGAAGTGACACCCCCTGGTGTCATGTTCATGCAACCCTATTTCCTTCACCATTTCTTCCAAATTAGTGAATTCAGCAGCTTAAATATCTTTGCCCCCTATTCTATTATCTATAGTAAGCACATTATTGGAATCTCCTATGACCATCCATGACCCCTGAACATTATTGGCAAGGTTCTCAATATCATTCCAGAGGTTCCTTCTTTGACTAAGTTTATTGTGAGCATAAACCACAGTAAGGTTGTGGGATTTCCTTCCATCTACATGGTTAAAATAACAATGAATATACTCATTAGGGATACTAATATGATTCAGCTTCCAATTATCCTTTCTCCACATCAACCATATTCTGCCATTATGATGATGTTCATAATTATCTATACACTCCCAATCATTACCAAAAAGATTTCTTATTCTATCAGCCTTGTTCATTTTGACTCTAGTTTCTAGCAAGGCAAAGCAAGATACATGATGCTTTTTAAGATGGGCACTTACCTCAGTGTACCTTGCCCTTTTATTGAGCCCTCTTATATTCCATCTTATCATCATGGTACAATCTCATACATTGCAGAACTTTCTCATAGCAGGACAACAAACCCATTTGTACAGTCTACAAACGGCTCACTTTTGTCTTCATATCTTAACTTCCTCCCTTTGAAAGCTGACTTCATTCTTGTCCATGTTGTGGGATCCTCAAATACCTCTTTGCCCTTGCCACTCTCATTTCCCCTTGATGCTCTTCATTCCCTTTTGTATCTTCAGTTTCATTGAAACTTTGAATGATGACTTTTTTGGGGGCCCAAACTTGCTGTTGTGTTAGCCTCTTGTGTTACTCCTTCTTTCTTTTTGCATTCTTGTCCCACCTTATTGTATAGTTTGCAAAAGGGTGGTTTTCATTCATAATCTATTGGCTGTGAGATTTTCTTTTCCTTTGGATCTCTAATGGTAATGGTTGATTGAAGGTCTGTTATTACATCCACTTCGATAAGGAAACGAGCATATAATACTCGCAATTTCTTGGCTGTGCATTCATCCGTCATAAAAGGTTTCCCTATAGCACTCGCTATTTTCCCAATATTTGCCTCTCCCCAATATATCAAGGGTAGTTAGGGGGAAATGACCCAGATGGGGAGGATCCTTAAGATGTCATCTTTCAACTTGAATTCACGCGTCCATTCATGAAGGAACATGGGTTTTCTGTAGATTGTGTATGATCCTCTAACTAGGACAACATCTCTATCATCTTTAGACGGAAACCTAATTATGAAGTACCCATCATCATTGTAGTACAGTTCTGATAATGACACGAAGTTCCATGCATTCATCATAAACTTCTTCACAACATTCATCGACATGGGATCCTCCATAACATACATAATTAGCACATTCTCTTAGTATTGCTTCTCAGCTACAACATCTTGTTCTTATATTACTACCTCAATTTCTCCATTAACAACCATTGGTGTTGTATATGAAATTTCGATACCCGTTTACCCACCTTTAATAATACCCAACCATGATTTTGCTTCCACTTGCTCTTTGTGTTTGTCAGATTCTTCGTCTTCTTCTTGCAACATCGATTCCGCTACCGGTATTGTCATTGTTTGCTTTGGTGTTTCACCATGCTTACTTGTGCCATTCATGTGCGTGTTACCCATATTCTCTCGAGAGGAGGACAGTGGAGAAATCATGGTCACCGCCGCCTTTCTCTTCGGCCGGTCACACCCCATCGCTCTGCTAGGGTTTTCATTGTAAGATTAATTTATCACCATTGATAATGTAATTTTGTTTGCACATATTAAATAATTTGATTAAACAGTTTAAAAAATAGTTTAATCAGTATGGATGGACGGAAAGCAAAAAGAAATTCATGAATATGCTATATGATATCAATAATTTAAAATTTACAGCGATTTAGTCGGATACATGATGTGGGTGACGGTGTAAAAAAATATTACAGTATTAATGCATATCAATTAAATTCTTAAAAAATTTATTGTTTATATATAAAAATTATAAAATTTTAATTAAGTTATTTTTTATTTAAAATTTATTAATTTATAAATATCAATAATTTATTTACAATAATATATAAATATAAATAAATACTACTTAAAGATTGAATTATAAACCAATTATTTACATAAATTTTACTTAATCAACCCATTACATTATCCATTAATTGAATTGTAGTCTTGAATAACTTGAATATTGATTCAATTTTATTGAAAATTATGTAAAACATACATATTTTTAGAATTTTAGTCTCTTTTCTCCAAATTTCTATTTTTTAAATAATATATTTTAATTTATTTGAAAAGTAATCTAAATTAATAACACAATTTTTTAAAGAAAATAGGACTTTGTTTTTTAAAAGGAAATATATCTGAAATTTTTTAAATTTTTTACATGAAAAAATTAATTCATATGCACCAATAGAGAATTATATTTACACCTCCTAATCTTCAAATTTTAAATATTAGCCGTAATCTTCAAATTTTAAATATTATTTGACATTCATTTTAATTACATTTAAAATAACTCTCAGTATTTTCTGAAAGAAAAAAAGAAGAAAAAAAAGCTATTCCAGAATGGTAAATTGGTAATTTATTGACTCAAACTCAAATAAAGGGCAAAAAGCCAAAAAGAAAAGGGGAGTGACCTCCATAATCCCATCCCCACACCACACACAATAAATTAAATCCATCGTCTCCTGTCCCCTCTTTTCCCTTCAACCCCCAATTTCATCTCTCATTAATCTAAAACTTCCTATTAGGGTTTTCAATTTCTCAACACTCCTCATTATTATTATTCAAATTTCAAAACCCTCCGACATGGATGGAGCCAGCGGCGTCACTGGCGGCGGCGAAGGCTCTGCCCAATTACCGGCGCCGACACCGATGCAAAACTCTAACTCGCCGCCTCCGTTTTTGAGCAAGACGTATGACATGGTGGATGACCCTTCCACTGACGCGATTGTTTCATGGAGTGCAACGAACAACAGTTTTGTTGTTTGGGACCCACCGGAATTCGCTCGGGACCTTTTGCCCAAGTACTTCAAACACAACAACTTCTCAAGCTTTGTTAGACAGTTGAATACATATGTGCGTTCTCTTACTTCTCTATCTTCTTTTTTTCTTCTTATTTTATTAACAGTTATTGCATTTTGCCTGATTGAATATTGGATTGGAAGTGATTACTGATTCTTGTGTTTTATTGTATTTGAATTAGCAACCTTGTGGTGTGTTTGAATTTTAATCTGTCTTGGAATGAAGTGTTGTGGGATTTTGTTTTGAACATTTTGATGTTTTTGCTCTATTGCTGATAAAGTTTGATCTATGATTGTACGGTGGCTGTTGATTTGATTTAGTGTGATGTATGCAAAATTTGATCTATTGTGGATAAAGTTTGTTTTGGTGAAAGTGAAATTAGTGAGGAGTGAGTGGATAGAGAGTTCCAATTCCACCCCTTCCCCCAAACATCTTTTAGGGGATTTGTTATGCCCTGTGAAGCACGTCCCTGACACGGCATAAATTAAACTTAATCAGAAGTGTCGGTGTAGGCGTATGACACCGACATGGACACACCTTTTTTCAGAGGTGTCAGGGCTACATAGGCTATGCCCTAGTCCCTCTTTATCATGTGGTGGTGTTTAAGTGTCACACATTTGATAGTGATGTGGTCTGAATCTAAATAGTGGTTATAAGTGTGTGACAAGACAACCTTTGCCTTACAAACCAATTTTTTAAGGTTGGATTAGGACTAATTAAGTTTGTCGGAATGGCCTCAACTGAACCCATAAAGTAGCAAAATTTACTTTATCCTTCAATTAAAATGAAAGAGCTAGGGTGAGATTTCTTAATTTTGTTTCCTTGTTTCAAAAGAATGGATAGACTGTAAAATTTAAATTTGATATTTTACCCTCCTGCATTGTGTCAGCAACTAAATGGAGCAGAAGAGGGAAATTTGACAAAGAAAGCCATTCTCAGGTTAATATGTTACTTGATTATGGTTTACTGACGCATGCATTGTATATTTAATGTCATAGGCATATATACACTGTATTATGTAAGGTAATATACCTAACTTAAATAAGGCATTAGATAATGAAGTGTTATGAAGAGGATTTTAGGGTTCTTGGAGAAATGTTTGCTATGAAGCTGGTAATGGCCCTGTATTATGACTGCACAGAAACTTACATAAATTCTATGAAGCAGGAACATTTAAATTACTGCTATCAGTATAATGAATATATTATGTATATTTTTTCTTGAAAAATATAGTTTATGATATGTTAAGATGTGTATATAACAACACTGGAAACTATGCTTTTATAATTAACTGCTTCCAAGGAAGGTGATATAAACTTTGTGGTGATGTGGAATTAATCAGTTGCCATAGTTGCATAGAAATGCATGCTTTTATCTAGTATGAGGCTTTTTCATTCTTACTTTGAAGCCAGTAAGTTTCTTAAAATTAGGCGATAATAGAAATGCAGTGTAGCCTCTTGCTATGAATTAATGGTATTTATTGTATCAAAACACTAGAACAGCATAAGTTCTGTTTTCCGAGTGAACCAAAGCCCAGTTTATTTTATTGTTGGCATTCATTAAGGATTATAATCTACTTCTAGTTTCCTGAACTATATTGGTTGTAGAATGAGTATTTTATTTTTAAGTTTAATTCCTTTTTGGCAGATCATTGTAACATGTATTATAACTTTTATCATGGAAATTAATCTGTCTTAGATTCAACTTCTGGTTTAAATACTTCAAACACTTAGTTAATTGACATGAGCTCCATAACATCATTTTTCACTAGTCTTTTGAACCTTGAATAAGTTGAGTTTGTCCTCAGGCTCAATTTGTTGACATGGACTTTTTGGCATGTCATTTCTGCGGTCTACTCGAGTAAAAAAATCAGCACTCACTTTGGTTGTCAGGCTGATGTCCGTCCTTTATGGGTTGGCTTAAAACTTTTGCATCCCTAGCTTCTTCCCCCTTTAAACCTCGCAGGAATTGAGTGTGTAATACTATAGCTTTCTGTCAATGATTGCTTATTGATGCTTTTGTTGAGTGCATCCAGTTGTCCTTGATTGAAGTTTCATGCATCTCTTTGCCATATTGTTGTACATCCTTAATCATCTGTAATTTTTTTGTTTAGCTATGTATGAGTATTTTAGTGTTTTATAAAACTAGAAAGCAGTGTGTTTTTTTACAGTGTATGTGACCTAACTCCTGTTTCTTTTTCCTTTCTAAAATCAAACAGGGTTTCAGGAAGGTCGACCCAGATCGCTGGGAATTTGCAAATGAGGGTTTTTTGAGGGGTCAAAAACACTTGCTTAAGAGTATAACTCGACGAAAACCTGCCCATGGCAATAATCATCAACCGGCTCAACAACCACCTGGACAGAGTTCATCAGTAGGGGCATGCGTAGAAGTCGGGAAATTTGGGCTTGAGGAAGAGGTCGAGCGGCTGAAAAGAGACAAGAATGTTCTGATGCAAGAGCTTGTGAGGTTGAGACAGCAGCAACAAACTACTGATAACCAGCTGCAAACAATGGTTCAGCGCCTTCAAGGAATGGAGCAACGACAACAGCAAATGATGTCATTCCTTGCCAAAGCTGTCCAGAGTCCTGGCTTCTTTGCTCAGTTTGTGCAACAGCAAAATGACAGCAATAGGCGCATAACTGAAGTCAACAAAAAGCGTAGGCTCAAACAGGAAGGTATTGCTGAAACAACAGAGCGAGCTGCCCCTTCTGATGGACAAATTATTAAATATCAACCTCAGATGAATGAAACAGCAAAAGCAATGCTTAGGAAGATCATGAAATGGGATACTCCTCGAGTAGAATCTTTCAATAAAAATCCAGATAATTACTTGATTGGTGACGGCACATCCCCATCCAATGCAATGGATAGTAGCAGCTCTTCAAACTGGAATTCCGGAGTAACTCTTCAAGAAGTTCCTCCATCTTCAGTGCAGTCTTCTCACATTCCAGCTGCAACAGGAGCTCAAGGACACATGCCTTCGGCAGATGTAACTCAAGCTGCAGCATCTGAAAATGTTATGTTGGATGGAGCACATGCAGCACCGACTATCCCGAATTCTCAAGCAGATGTTATCATGCCTGATATACCTTCAATACCAGAGACTGTGCCAAGAAATATTCTCGATATTCCCGAGGACAATTATATGGCTCCTGAGACAGATGATGGATTTATGGATCCAACTTCGCTCGGGTCATTTCCCATTGATTTTGAAGCTCTTTCACCCGGGGCAGACATTGATGATTTGTTAAACAATCCTTCTATTTGGGAGGATCTTTTGCAAACTCCCCTTCCAGAGGATCTTGAGACCAGCGTTGACGAAATATCCAGAGGAAATGAGCCGCAGCCAACAGAAAATGGATGGGAAAATACTCAACACCTGGATCAACTAACAGAGCAGATGGGTCTTCTTTCTTCTGAGGTCAAAAGAATATAACCAGCTATCGAATTTGTATCAATTTTTCTTACTGTCCAAGGTAATCCCTCACCCAAAAAACACACAAGTAATGATCTCTATAATATAATTACACCTCCACTTGCTCCCCGAGAAACTTTTCATTTGGTCTTCTGTACGCATAACTTTCCCATACTTTCATCTGTGGCATTGATAGTTCCTTCCTTTACATGTTGTAAACGAGTTAGAACTTTTTGACCTTGTCATGTAATCCTTAGGGAGTGTCTGATACCTGATCAATTCTTTCAATGTTATAGGAAATCTTTGGAGTTGAACATATGTGAATTATACAGTGCAGTTTTCTCCCCCAACTTGATGCTTCCCTGGTTGAGGGGGTGAAATGGGAAAAAAAGAAGACAATTGTAATGATTACTCAAGGTGTCTGAAATGAAGTGCACATTGCTTTGGAGATTTACTTTCTGAACAAAGACAGGAACAATGGATAGCAGTTGTTCTTGCTTTTAACATTACTCGCCATTTAGCTTGGGCTGTTTGTTCCTATGTAACCGATTTTTCCTCGGGTTATGTTTCAATTGATAAAAAAATTGAAATAGATGCTAATGGAATTGATTGTCAAAAATATTTTTTGGGGCGTAATACTATTTGAGGTGTGATATATATACTATATATGAATATTTCTTCCTGTGACGTACGCCAAATATGAATATTTTTTCCTATTAGGACTCAAACTATAGTTAGTCACGCCATGATAGTCTAGCCATTTCCGAGGTTTTAACTTGCCATCCTAGTTATAACTAGCACTTCACATTTAGAGATGTTTTACTAAATATAGTATTTTCAAAATATATTGGAAATTTGGAGTATATACCGGCGGTTTATGAAAATTAACTTTTTTTACCGAAACAATGTAAAAATATCAGGCAATTTGAAATTTATGGTATATATATTGGAATTTTTGGTAAAGACACGTGTATCGGAAATTGTGAAATTTTCGATATTTATCATAAGATTTTAAAAATATGAAATTTCTGGTATACGCTGAAATAAATTTTTCATTTTTTTTGTATTAATTTTTTTCGAATAACTGACTAGATAAAATAACTATCGGATAAAATATATACATATAATAAAAACAATCTTATATATAAGAGTATAAATAAATTATGATGACTTTCTAACTTCGTCTTTCCAGGCTTAATATACATATGCTGATTATCATGTTTTTGCATTTTCAGTACAATTCTGTCTCCAACGGTCAATGATAGGAGACAATGGACAATCAGATTTCAACTTTACTTAAACTCAATGATTGTTGACAAAATCAACGGTAATAATTTTATGTTTTCTTGTACACATAAGTGTGAAGTTAAGGCAAGAGAAAAAAAATGTGAAGTTAAGTCTCTTAGATAAGAAGGCAAATACGACGTTGAATTTACAACCAATAGGATAATCCATATCAGAAAAAATATGAGTTGAGAACACAACTTTCATGGAATTCATCAGCGTAAGTTTCCAGTTCGCCACGACAACTTTCGGTAGCAAATTCTCGGAAGAGAACAACTCTCTGAGTTTCTCCACTGTCCATTTGAAGTTCTCGTCCCTTTCATGTTCTAAATAGGCAAAGTCAACCGAAAACGTCAACTTTGTTGACGTAACACCAACAATCTCAAGCAGTGGTATCTGGTACTAGGGGTGTACGCGGGTTGGGTTGGACCGGGTTCGCCTTAACCCGTTACCCAACCCGTTCAACTTTCAATGGGTTGGGTTTATCATCAAACCCGTAATTCTACTTTAAAAACCGACCCGAATCAACCCGGATATTTACGGGTTGGGTAGGGTTGGGTCCACGGGTTGTGTATATAATAATTATTATTTTCAATTTAAAAAATCTATAACACAATTCAATATAATTTTGCATATTTCAAACAATTAAATTATTTACGTAGTGGAGACAAATCCTACATATAAAATAGAATAATTAAAAATATAACAATTAAAATTTTGAAATGTATTTTCTTTGTCATAAAAAATATTAAGATACATATACACCATTAATTATTTATATATTTTCATTAATATACCTTAATTTATAAAAATTTATTAGTTATTTTGATACTCAAATGTTATCCATTACAAATATATATCAACATATGTAAAACAAATATATAATAATATACAGTATATATTAGTTGTTTTGATACTCAAATGTTACCTTTTCTAGCACATGCTTAAAAGTAGGTCCGTAAACTATCATATATATTAACACTTAATAATATATAAAATTCCATAAAATATTATTTCCATAAAATTCATAAATTCTAAATAATTCAAAAGCAAATAAACATCACTTAGTCTTAAAATAACTATTGGTCCAATATTGGTCTAATAGCACCAAAATCTAACAACAACTATAAAAGATTCCAGCACCAGCAGTGAAAGGTTTAGCAACAACAGAAAATCCAGCAACAGTAGCTGTAAAAGATTCCAGCAACAACAATGAAACGTTTAGCAACAACATAAAATCCAGCAACAACAGTTAAAAGTTTAAGCAACAATAGTCAAAAGAAGAAGAAAAAAAACAACACTAGAAAATACCTTGAAATCTAGTAGTAACAGTTGTATTGAGCTCAACCGCAGTAATGCCAACATCAATAGAAACTAATCCAGCTAACTCTATATATGTAAACACAAACAACTAATAAGAATAATGTAATGTAATACTAAAATAAAATAGATTTTAAAATTCAAACATATAATTCATACCTGACTCAACCTTTTCCAATTCAACCAACTCTTTTTCTAAATCAATGACCTTAGGAGATTTGATCCAATTTTGAGTACAAATCAAAGCTTCAACGGTAGAGGGATTCAAGGAACTACGAAATGAATCAAGGACACGACCTCCTGTACTAAAAGCGGATTCAGAAGATACAGTGGATACAGGGATAGCCAATATATCTCTAGCTATGCGGGAAAGCACATGATATTTATTTGTTTTTCCTTTTCACCAAGTGAGAATATTAAATGTAGGAGAATCATCTTCAACACCATCCTCCAAATACCTTTCCAACTCATTTTTTTGCACTTCACATTGTTTTTTCTTCATATTCATTCTAAACAAATTGTCCCAATCTTCATCATCTTCACCATTTTCAATTCTAGAATGAGAGACAATGTTTGAAGATGAGGCATTGGAACCACCATCATGAGAAACAGGATACAAAAATAAATAGTGCTCAAACAATTTAGCAATGAGAGATTTCAATTTCTTTAACATATCCTCTGACAAATTTTCACCATACATCTGAGTAAAACAAAATTCAATATAGTCAAGCTTATAACGAGGATCAAGATAAATAGCAACAAAGAGAAGATAATTTATTGTATTGCTTTCCCAATACTTGTTGTACTTCAATTGCATATTTGCTGTCATGGTTTTCAAAATTGGATCACTAACATTGTGCCTCCATTTATTCAACGTTTTTTTAATATCCATCAACTGTTTGAAAAAAGAGTTAGCAGTAACATGCAATGACCCAGAAAAAGAAAGTGTGGCATCATAAAAAATTTTCAAAAACTTCACAGAAATACGAGCTCGTTCCCAATCAGCTCGATTAGGACATCCTTTCGACTCAATACGGAGATTAGTTAAAAATGCAACATCAGCATGTTCTAAGCGGTAAAATGCATGTTCATACTTTTCAGCGATGTTCAACATTAAATAAGTAGAGTTCCATTTGGTTTCTACATCTAGTGTTACCAATGCTTTAGAACATACACCAACAGCTTCTGCACACTTCTTGAAAGTAGTCAACCTACTAGGAGAAGCCTTGACAAACTTACATGCAGCCCTAATTCTTTTAACAGATTCATCAATATCCTTTATTCCTTCTTTGACAATCAAGTTTAATATGTGAGCACTACATCTCATATGCAAGTACTCCCCATTAAACAAAGTACGACCATTCCAAAAACTCATGCCTCGATTTAAATAATCAATTGCCAAATTGTTAGCACTTTCATTATCAACAGTCACACAACATATAGACTTGATACCCCATTCCTTCATGCAATTCTCTAATGTTATCCCTATAGTTTCACCTTTATGGTCAGCAATTATACCAAAGCTTAATATACTCTTCTTTAAATTCCACTCGTCATCAATATAGTGAGCTGTAACACACATATAATTCATATTCTGAATCGATGTCCAAGTATCAGTGGTAAGAGACACCATTTGTTTATTAGCAGACAACATAGATTTCAATTTTTCTTTCTCATCGAAGTACAAGCATAAACAATCTCTGGCAACAGTGACACGAGATGGAATTTTGAATCTTGGTTGAGCCTCTTTCATGAACATATTAAATCCTTCATTTTCAACATATTTAAAAGGGAGCTCATCAATGATTATCATCTTTGCAAGTGTTAATCTAGTCCTCTCTTGATTAAAATCAACAAGTTTCAAGCTAACACTATTAGGATCATCCTCACTTTCTTTTCCAATAGCTATAGTTTTTTGTTTCTTATCAACTACCATATTTGGATTTTTCAGGCACACTTTCAAATGTTTATGCATGTTAGTAGTGCCATGACTACCACTATTTGCAGCATATTGTTTCCCACAATACTTACATATAGCCTTATCATTAACCCTTTTAAAATCTTTCCAAACTGTAGAAGGTTTTCTAGAGGGTTTTCTTTTGCTTACCTCTTGATCTGACCTGATCAGGAGGGAATCACGATATGGCCACACGCCGTTGGACGGTACCTGTTCACCGGTGATGAGAAGGAAGAGGGGGGTGTACCTGCAAGACACTCCGATGCCAAAGTAAGAAATTGGACAGAGTGGAAGCAAAAGTACAGAAAGGGGCAAGAAGAGAGTTACCTGGCCCTCTTGAGGAAGAGGGTATTTATAGAGAGACCCCAGCGCTGGGCCAACGGTCATTTGAGATGGGCTGGATGACCAGGCCCAACCCTAATGACTGCTAGGGCTTACGTGGCGTAGTGAAGACCAGGAC